AGAGAATGAAGATGTAGTGGTCTGGGCAGGGGGCACCAACTTGAGGGCACTGAGGTCATCTGAGGAATGAAATGTGTAGTGGTCTGGGCAGGGTGAGCACTCTGTGGTTCAGTGCCTCTGAGGCTTTTCTTGTATTCATATAATGAGCTAAAATGTTACAAAGGAGTTGCGAAAAAAAATAATGAAGGCCATTCTTTTTTACATTAATATTGTATTTGAGTGACTATGTATGCCCTAAATACATGGTATTTGTAATGCATTATTTGTTCAATATGAAATCAAAGTTAAAAATGTGCATTTTTTGGTGTTAGTATTATCCTTACTAATTAAATGTGGATAGAATAAGTTAAATATACACTCCAAGTTAAAAGAGTGCACTGAGTAGTGTTAGTATTATCCTCACTAATTAAATGGGTATATAATATGTTAAATATATGTTTGGTTCAAAGAAAATAACCGTAAAATGAAAATGGACTCAAGAAAGATAATCAGTAACTTCTATACAGAATCTACAGAATTATCAATTCCATGGGTTGCTGTTCCTATGTTGGCCGCTACAGTCATCGCTTTCGGAACAATTCTTTGTTATTACAGTGAGTTAAAATTCAATCACAAATTCTTGTAAATGGAACCGTATTGAAGTCTCAACTTTAATTGTATAAGTAGGATTTTATTTGAAAGTAATTACTGTTATTATTATTTTAAACTTTGAAAAAATACAATTTTCCTCAATTTTTTTTTTTTTTAAATGATGATCACGGTGCCCTTACTAACTTATTTTAAATTCGTACATTCTTTTTCAGTCTTTGCTAAAATCTGCTCTCGGAAGAAAAGATTCGGTGGTAAATTATAAAATGTTTTGTTTTATTTAATAAAACACCTTACATAATGAAGTGTAGGCAGTGGCAACCTTTGTCCAAATCCACACCTAGATTCAGTGTTGCAATGCTGCAAATAAATAGCCAACTACCTTTTTTTTAAAAATTACATATTAAACGATGTGAAATCATTTATTTGCATAATACATGAAAATACAAAGGGTCAGGAGTCAACTCAGAGGAACATAAAACTCCAATACTTAGAATTATTTTTTTTCGTTGTTTGCTGTAAACTTGCATGAGTATGAGCTGTGGCCATTAAAAACTGATTCGATCACCATGTCATAAACAATCGCTACACATAGGACAAAAATACGTGCACGTCATATGGCATGGATTGATATACTTAAATGAGATATAGTCTTAATCAGCTGATAATTTAATTGTTTTAGCCAAATAGTATTTGCGAATTTTGATTTAATGTCTGATCGTAAAAAGTAGTTAATTATGTTGGCAATGTTGACGTAAATAATCAAAATTCTGAATGAATCAGGCCAACAAATGGGGTAAGTCGATGAAATTGAACATTGAACATATATGACGTCATTAGGGTTGGTGTCACTCGGGGCCATTTTACCACGTCCTTACGTTTCCCTTGACCTTCTTCGAGTCTCCTTTCTCATGTGACATCCAGCTTTCCTGGAACCTGTTCTGGTAGCACACAGCTTTGTTGGCAACCTCTTCTGGTCGTAACATTCTCCGGTGGCATCCTGTTCTAGTAGTACACTTCTCTGTCCTTTAATCACAAAATCGCTCTCCTGAACTCCTCCCTTCGGCTCTTACTCTACATACCAAATGATCATAAATAACAAAAATCAGCGTCATATTTCCCGCTATGAAACGTCATCCACACAAACAACATAGACACAATTACACAATAAATCTCTATACTCAAATATGCCCACTAACAAATCACGTTTTGAGCAAACCAAAAGACACACCCATTAAACAAATCATTAAAACGGTGTAGATTATTAATTCATTCATATCACTACATGGCAAAATTAAATTTTAAAAAGTAATAATTTATTTATTTACAATAATTGTAATGTTTGTTTGTTTTGTTGTTTTTTTTGTTTTTTTTTTAAAGAAATTACGGTTGAGACAGTAAATGAAGTTCACTGTGAGTACTAGGTTAATGTATATTGGGAACATTGTGTCATGGTCAAAATATTTTGTCTGTTTCAATCAAGCGTGCACAACATAACGTTAAATGTTAATGTAACGGTTTCTTTAAAACTAACAGGTTTGAATATCCTCATAATCATATTTAAATAATTGTTTCAAATGTACGATGTATGATTTGATTTGCTGGTTGGGGTTTTTTTAGCTTTAGAATTAGATCCGTACATTCATTTCTAAACTTAAGTTTTAGTTGCGTTCTATTTGTTTGCTTCTATCTATTTATTTAATAAACAACTTATCATTCCAGCTGAATGCCCCAAGTTGAAAATGAATTCATACGGTAATTATAACGCTTTTGTTGATATTAGAATTAATGTTCAAATGACTCATTTTATATAAATATATATAAATATTGTTTATTGTCAAATTCATTATCTAACTATTTACAAAATTTAAGTAAAATTTTAAATGTCATAACTTAAGTTTTATAAAATCATTTCAATCAGTAAATTTTAAAAAGAAACAGTGTAAATAATATTGAATACATTCAATTAATGAAAGTTCCAATCCAACATTTTAAATATACTTTAATAAAGTTCAGGAGTCCACAAGATGTAACAAATTTATTGCAAACGAAAACGGGAGAAAGAAACATTCTTAAACTTAAATTACAATGTATTGAAATAAAAGAATTTTTTTTTTTCATTTTTATCTCAGATTTGGTTTTTTTGCTTTTGTTTTTTTCTTTTCTTGTTTACGTTCTCTCTCTTTTTTTTTTTTATTTGCCAGCGAAGGCTTTTTGGCGACACTGCCATTTTTCGCTTTCCTCCTCTTCATGTTTTCTGCTTTTCCTTAAATAATGTAGCCATTTCAAAGTATTTAAACAGATTGTCATATCAGCACTAGCATATAAAGCAGGTATCATTACAAGCTTTCCGATGGCTAATAGTACACATTGCAAAATTTCGCCCCATTAAAGCTTCAGGTTTTCTAAAGAAAACATTGTGTTTCATTGAACACATTTTAAATAAAGTTGTACATTGATATTATGTTTAGTTTGTTTTAAGTTCTAATTTTTATAAACCAATAAAATATATAGATTCCCAGTGCATAATACTGTACACGAATATGTGAAAATAAAATAGCATTTCTGGAACAATTTTGAAGATTAATGAGTGCAGCAACTTTTGCTTACAATCTAAGAGCTAACCAATGACCCCCAACCCCCACGAGTAACCATAAAACTACCAAATAGTACACAAGGACCGCAGCGAACGCAGGATAGTGAGAGAAAAAAACAAACATCTATTAAGCACACACAAAATTTGTGTGGCTCGCCAATTGTTGTGTCCTTAAAGCGGCTCCAAGGGTATTCAATATCTGCCAGGCCATAGTAATTTTCGCGGGCTGTTTTTACCCTTTGACCTGACGTTATCTTGCCCCAATTTAAGTAATGGATGTGTCTTACGGCATAACACAAAGCAACAAAAAAGGCTTAAAATTAAAATGTATCATTTGAGTCTCCTGGACCAAAGTCAGACTTGGCGTCGAGTGTAGAATTTTTAGGTCAGTTAACTAACACTAAAGGCCTAGATTTAAAATGCATCATTTGATTCTCCAGGAGCAACGTCAGACATGGGGTCGAGCGTCGACTTTTTAGGTAACTTAAGCAATATTAACAATTAGTTTATTGTAACACCGTTGTCTCTGAGAACATTTCGCTTGTTGTTTACTTTGAAGTTAAGTTCATGATTACCGTGCTCAAAATAATCAAATCAAGTCTACTTGAAATATTTTAAAACGTTATTGAAGCTTCACAGTGAAAAGCACAACAGTTCAATTTAGGTTGTTGTTGTTGTTGATTTTGTGTGTGTGTATGGAGGCTTTGCTCCTGTCTCCCCGGATTCTGAACTCACGTCATCATCGTGTCCTTATTCCACCAATCAGATACGGCCTCCAAACTCATGACCTCTTCAGAAAGCAAAACCATGCGTCAAATAGTAGCATGTTGTAACACACACAATAAATCCATTCCAGTGTCATCGTTCTTAAACAGTTCTTTTTTAACGTGTTACTGTCCCTGAGTATCTGTAAGAATAATAAAACACCCAGTATTGTTAGAACTCATGATACTATAAATAAATTCGTCAAATGCTATTTAATTTTAATTAATACTTTAAATAAAACTTTGTCAAACCAGAACTTTTGAACATATAATTGTATTCTTGGTCCACCCTCGAGATCATGTAAATAAATGTTTTCATCTTTACACTTAGAAACATACACTCTTGAAGATTACAGACAGATCAAATGGGGTAAGTTCTATAGTAGATGAATAAGTAGTGTACAGTATGATTGAGTATGTAGATATTTCTTAGATAAACCGATCCATTCAAAGTAAAGTCAGAAGCAAAAAGAAGAAGAAGAAGAAGAATGTTAAATTATGTCACCATTTACATTTATTATAGTTTTTGAAAAATAAATAAATAAATGTATCCAAGTTTGACCATTAAAAAATATTAATTTAAAAAAAGTAACAATCTGGATCAAATTTAACTAATAGATATCTTTCTTACCTTTTTTAAATAATTGGCCGAAATTACCAAAGAAAATGTCTGGCATGCATATTGGGTGACGATGTTTAGACACATGTGGATGTTGGGTCACAATGTTTAGACAGCCGTGTTTGTTGGGTCACAAAGTTTGGTCAGTTCACTAAATTTCAATAAAACTATTTTTTTTTTTAAACTAAAACTAAGCTTCTGGCAGTTTTTACATGAACATTTGTTTTACAAATTTGACCAAACTTTTTAGCTGGTTTTCTTTTTAAATCTGTAAATCACCATGATATCCACATCCATGCATGAAAAAAGGCACTGAACAGAAACTATATATTAAATACATTCAGTTTGTTTGACACAACACATTTTTTTTTAATATGTAGGTGAGACTACACAATTGGAAACTGAGAAGCAGTCCAATGTTTATTTTTTAGGTAAGGATCGAATTATGACAAGCAGTCAGGTTTTTATTATTTAGGTAAGTAGCATGGCCATTATCTTCTTCGTGTGTCCACTCTAACCTGTGTGTCGTCGCTGAGAGGTACAGTTGGCTAACTGCCAACGAGGGCGTTGGAACCTGTTGAACGATCGTGTTGTGGACTCTAAGAGTGCTCTAAAGACAGTCCATCCACCACCGGCGTGGTCCTTCTTATGCCCTGAAAACCGGCGGCCCTGCTATTGAAGGGCTTGTGTGCAGACTTATTTTACTGTAGAGACTGGCGGGCCTGCTATTGTAGGCTTGTGTGAAGACTTATGTTACATGAGAAACTGGCGGGCCTGCTATTGAAGGGCTTGTGTGCAGACTTATTTTACTGTAGAGACTGGCGGGCCTGTATTTGTAGGCTTGTGTCAAGACTTATGTTACATGAGAAACTGGCGGGCCTGCTATTGTAGGCTTGTGTGAAGACTTATGTTACATGAGAAACTGGCGGGCCTGCTATTGTAAGCTTGAGCTCAGTCTTACTCTACAGGCATGCTAAACAGATATTTTCCTACAGGCCTTCTAAACAGATATGTTGCTGGGACATATGCTGGAAACAGTCGTTTGTTTCATGTCCTGGTTTTGACGTAGACACTTATCGTTTTACCATCTGCTCGTCCTTAAACATCTCAACCCGTAGGAACGGTTTGGTCTTCTTTAAGAGTTGTATTAAAAGTTCAAAGATGAACATAGTCCAATGGTGTTTATCTTTACATGTATCACATGATATATTACATGATATATTACATGATATTTTACATGAAATATTACATGGAATATCACATGATAAATTATATGATGTATTTCTTGATACTGTCGTATTTCAAATCCACCCATTGTGGATTTATGTAGAACGTCTTGAACAATAATTTTATCCCTCAAGTCAAGTCATCAATAGCAATAATTAATAATCATTTAATTTTTAAAAACTTTACAACATTATAACATTACGAATTATTATTTTTTTAACTCAACAAAAATAGTTCATGTCTTGTTATTTATTTTATCTTTTATGTAAAACAAAAAACAAAAACAATATAAAGAAACAAAAGAAACATTATGTATGGAGTATGAATATAAAATAATAGTTTTAACATCTTATCCTTACAGGAAGAAGTAGTGATGTGGATTCCACTGCCAACGATGAGGATTATTTCAAGCCAAGCCGTAAAGATGAGGATGAGTTAAGGCCAAACCATAAAGATGAGGATGAGTTAAGGCAAAACCATAAAGATGAGGGTGAGTTAAGGCCAAACCATAAAGATGAGGATGAGTTAAGGCAAAACCATAAGGATGAGGGTGAGTTAAGGCAAAACCATAAAGATGAGGGTGAGTTAAGGCCAAACCATAAAGATGAGGATGAGTTTAGGCCAAACCATAAAAATGAGGGTTATTTTGAGCCAAACAATAATTGTTAGTCTATATGGAGTATTTAATAATGTATTCACCTAATTTACTGCTGTCAATTTGAAGAAAAGCAAGTGAAAATGTGGGATCTTCGAAATATACTAATAGTAAATTACACACACACACACACACAGACACACATATAGATTACAATCTTCTTTAAGTATATATTACGTTTCATAAATGTCTAGGAAAAATAGCGCAAGATAGATTCCTGCCAGGAAAGCTGCCGGATTATAAATCGGGAATTTATTAGAAAATTCTCAAAAAAAAAAAAAAAAAAAAAAAAAAATTAGAAAAAATATGAGAAAAAAAAAAAAAAAAAAAAAAAAAAAAAAAAAAATATAAATGTCTAGGAAAAATAGCGCAAGATAGATTCCTGCCAGGAAAGCTGCCGGATTATAAATCGGGAATTTATTAGAAAATTCTCAAAAAAAAAAAAAAAAAAAAAAAGTAATTTGCAGAAAGTTGCGTCACTTGATAAGATTCTTTAGAACAAATAGAAAGTATTCGAACGCAAAGGAACGTTTCCAAACCAAGGTAGGGGCGGGTAAAAAGAAGTGGCGCCACACGGTTAATATTTGACGTAAAAGTTAAAAATAAAACAAAGAGAAATAAAGAGGTTTTGGACGCAAAGCTACGTTGAATTAAAATTAGGTTAACACACATGCCATAACAATAGAGAAACAAAAAAAAAACATTCTTATTGAAATGAGCTAAGAATATGACAATAAATACATTCAAATCTATAATGTTTTTGCGTTCGTATAGGATGCAGCTGCTTGAAAGAGAACCCCCTAACCTTTTTTTTTTTAATATGTTTTAAGAACAAAAAATAATTATTGATTACGGAAACACACCCCATGTTATAGGCATATTTTTATGTGGAAAAAATGTCATTCTGTACGCAGGAAAATACGTTACAACTGATACTAAAATAAACATTATCATTATATTGTTTAAAAATATTTTCCCATTGTTTCTTTATTTTTACAGGATCGGAATTTGATTATGTGCTCAATACTCGGACGTTCATGGTCTAACGCATAGCTAAAACCTTTTACCTTGGTAACTTAACTTTCAATTTACCCATCGTGGTAGAAAAATTCCATTTAAGTTAATTGCATGGATTCCATATTTTGTTAGTTTAAAAAAATAACAATAATAAAATAATAATTTCTTTTAGGTTTTTTTTAAATTTTTTTTTTTTTTTTTTTTTTTTTTTTTTTTTTTTTTTTTTTTTTTTTAAAAAAATAAAAAAAAAAAAAAAATATTTTTTTTTTTTTTTTTTTTTAATTTTTTTTTTTTTTTTTTTTTTTTTTTTTGCTTATTTAAATCATGGGTTCTCAACCTTCCGAATGCTGCGGCCTTTTAATACAATTCAAATTGTTGTGGCGACCCCCAACCACAAAATAAATTTTCCTTGCTACGTCACAACTGTAGACAAGGCTATATGTGGTTTCTGATGGTCTTAGGTGACCCCTGGGAAAGGGTCGTGCGACCCCCAAAGGGGTCGCGACCCACAGGTTGAGAACCGCTTTTTTAAATGTTTCAGAGATAAACAAAAAAATGTATCAATAACTGCCAATGTTATGAGTTTCTTTTCTTTACAATATAAAATTGTGGACTTTTATTTGTGTAACATTTTTCTAAATAACACCCACAATGTGCTTACATTCTTTAAAAAGAATCCATTGTACTCTTATACATTTTTACGTAATCATATTATTTGTTGCAAACTTTTACAATCAAGAATCGTTTTTTTTTTCTTTTATCTCTGCATCTTTGTGATTATCAATCATAAATAGTTAATTTTAACATTACACATATTATTTTAAAAATTAAATTATTTTGTTATTTTCAGAAATAGTGTACATGATTGATGAAGTAATAAACAGAATTATGGACGCACTAACGCATTTATTTCTTGTGTAAACCAGTAAACAATATGGCAGAGAAAAATATGTAAGGGCCAGAGAGCAATATGTAAGGGCCAGGGAGCAATATCTCAGGGCCTGAAAACAATATGGCAGGAACAGAGAAAAATATGCAAGGGCCAGGGAGCAATATCTCAGGGCCTGAAAACAATATGGCAGGAACAGAGAAAAATATGCAAGGGCCAGAGAGCAATATCTCAGGGCCTGAGAACAATACGGCAGGGACAGAGAGCAATATCTCAGGGCCAGATAGCAATATCTCAGGGCATGAGAACAATATGACAGGGCCAGAGAGCAATATGTAAGGGCCAGAGAGCAATATCTCAGGGCCTTAGAACAATATGGCAGGGGCAGAGAAAAATATGTAAGGGCCAGAGAGCAATATCTCAGGGCCTGAGAACAATATGGCAGGGACAGAGAAAAATATGTAAGGGCCAGAGATCAATATCTCAGGGCCTGAGAACAAAATGGCAGGGACAGAGAAAAATATGTAAGGGCCAGAGAGCAATATCTCAGGGCCTGAGAACAATATGGCAGGGACAGAGAAAAATATGTAAGGGCCAGAGATAATATCACAGGGCTAGAGAACAATATGACAGGGTCAGAGAACAATATGACAGGGCCAGGGAACAATATAGAAGTGTCAGAGAATAATATCACAGGGCTAGAGAACAATAAGACAGTCCCAGAGAAAAATATGTAAGGGCCAGAGAGCAATATCTCAGGGCCTGAGAACAATATGGCAGGGCCAGGGAACAATATAGAAGGGCAAGAGAATAATATCACAGGTCTAGAGAAAAATATGACAGGGCCAGAGAGCAATATATCAGGACCAGACAGGGCCAGAGAACAATAAGACAGGGCCAGAGAGCAATAAATGGGCTAGATGACAATATGATAAGGCCAGATAACAATATGACAGGGCCAGATAACAATATGATAAGTCCAGATAACAATATGATACTGCCAGAGGACAATATGATAGGGCAGATAACAATAGGACAGGGCCAGATAACAATATGATAGGGCCAGAGGACAATAAATGGGCTAGATAACAATATGATAGGGCCAGAGGACAATGTGACAGGCCCAGAGAATAATATTTCAGGGCCAGAGAGCAATAGGGTGCGCGGGGGGGGGGGAGTTCAGGGGAAATTTAGCCCGGCGCAACGACACACAACGAAACCAGAGGAAAAGCTTTGAATATTTCGCCACAATGATTTGGCATTGGGACGCGCAAACGAGAACGCTAGAAGAAAAATTATCGGAGGCAGACTATCAAGTGGGCCAGAGAGCAAGAGGGGGCGGGGGGGGGGGGGGAGTTCAGGGGAAATTTAGCCCGGCGCAACGACACACAACGAAACCAGAGGAAAAGCTTTGAATATTTCGACACAATGATTTGGCATTGGGACGCGCAAACGAGAACGCTAGAAGAAAAATTATCGGTGGCAGACTATCACGGTTTAGATACGGAGAGTCGTGTGACAGTACGATGCGGAAAGGACGATGGTTTGGGACCAATTAGCCGTTTCCCCAAATCGATAAGAAAAATGGTGATGGAAATAGCGCATGATAATAACTTCCCACCACACACGGTTCATCGTGGCGAATGCAAGAGCTTTCGAAGAATGTTGGTGGCCCGGCATAGCGAAGGATGTCACATATTATTGTAAAACGTGCGATGTGTGTCAAAAAGTTGAAAGGCAACGCGCTGGGGGTATTGCCCCCCCCCTCCCTCCCTCAATATAGGGAGTTTGGTCGTATTCATGAAATCATCTACGGGGCGTAGAGCACAAAGAGCACGTTGCACGGTCCGTATAGAGTGGTTGACAAACTAAGGGAACTCAACTATGTCATCTTAGAGAAACGCTGGATTTTACGAATTGTGCGTTTAGAAGATTAATTCAAAATGTGCCCACTTGTTTGTGTATGTGTGTGTAAATTTCGCACTGACTGCTCTTATCTTATGGAGTCTGTCTACCATATTATTGTAGGTTAATTTCCATGTCTCATGATTATTTCATTAATATATTTTAGTAGACTTACCCATAACTGAATGCTTCCTTATGTGCAGTGGAAAATACATTTGAAATTTGAAAGTAGCTATAAAAAAAAAAGTAAGTAAAACTGTTAAGACAGAACAATAAAATGAAGCTATTAAACGATACAGGTCGAGGGAGCTAAGTTATAGGATGAGGGAGCTAACTGATATTATATGGCAGCTGACTGATATTGTAAGGGAGCTAACTGATATTATAAGGCAGCTGACTGATATTGTAAGGGAGCTAACTGATATTATAAGGCAGCTGACTGATATTGTAAGGGAGCTAACTGATATTATAAGGCAACTGACTGATATTGTAAGGGAGCTAACTGATATTATAAGGCAGCTGACTGATATTGTAAGGGAGCTAACTGATATTATAAGGCAGCTGACTGATATTGTAAGGGAGCTAACTGATATTATAAGCCATCTCACTGTTAACATAAGTGAGCTGACTGAAAGTATGGGGGAGATAAGTGATATTATGAGAGAGCTAACTGATATTATAAGGGAGCTAACGATATCATAAGACTGCTAACTGATATTTTAAGTGAGCTAACTGGTAGAATGAGGGAGCTAACTAATATTATAAGGGAGCTAACTGATACTAATAGGGAGCTAACTGATAGTATAGGGGAGCTAACTGGCATTATGAGGGAGCTAGCTGATAGGCTAAGGGATGAGTAACGGAATCCGTGTTGTGCCACGCGAACACCAAGTTTACTGAGAGGAAAAAAGTGGTGTTTTAAATCTTAATCTTTTTTATGATTGTGCTTGTAATAAACATCCGATTTCCACTTAATGCTTGGCATCCGTTGCTGGCACACATTCGTAGCAGCGTTAAAATGTAGCTCTTAACTTTAAATTATTAGTGTTTTATTATTTGTTTTTTTTTAAAGCATAAAAACCGGGAAAACTACAAAAGGAAAGTGAAAAATTTATGCAAATAAAATTTTAAAATATTATCTCTCCATGTATTTCTGCACCAGCGTTATTTTTTTTTTTTTTTTTCTTTTGCACCAATCAAGCACCATTTTGCAGGACGGAACGCCAACTTGGTGTCTTGACGAATATTTTTGAGGCTTGAGCAGACCTGTAACTATCAGTCCAGTATTTGTAAATATAATAAAAAGTAACATGTTTTGTTTTAAAATATGGCTGTTTTTGCATGCTATTCAAGGTTAGTATAAAAAGTAAGATGAATGTTCTCACAATCTGTATATCTGTGCCTTAACACAGGAATAGCTTTTCTTCCAATCTGTATATCTGTGCCTTAACACAGGAGTAGCTTTTCTTCCAATCTGTATATCTGTGCCTTAACACAGGAGTAGCTTTTCTTCCAATCTGTATATCTGTGCCTTAACACAGGAGTAGCTTTTCTTCCAATCTGTATATCTGTGCCTTAACACAGGAGTAGCTTTTCTTCCAATCTGTATATCTGTGCCTTAACACAGGAGTAGCTTTTCTTCCAATCTGTATATCTGTGCCTTAACACAGGAGTAGCTTTTCTTCCAATCTGTATATCTGTGCCTTAACACAAAAGTAGCTTTCCTTACAATATGTATATATGTGCCTTAACACAAGAATAGTTTTTCTTACAATATGTATATCTGTGCCTTAACACAAGAATAATTTTTCTTCCAATCTGTCTATTTGTGCATTAACACAAGAGTTGCTTTTCTTCCAATCTGTCTAACTGTGCATTAACACAAGAATAACTTTTATTCAAATATGTATATCTGTGTCTTAACACAAGAATAGCTTTTCTTACAGTCTGTATATATCTGCCTTAACGCAATATTAGCTTTTCTTACAATCTGTCTATCTGTGCATTAACATAAAAGTTGCTTTTCTTACAATCTGTCTAACTGTGCATTAACACAAGAATAACTATTCTTCCAATATGTATATATGTGCCTTAACACAAGAATAGCTTTTCTTACTGTCTGTATATTTCTGCCTTAACGCAATATTAGCTTTTCTTACAATCTGTCTATCTGTGCATTAACACAAAAGTTGCTTTTCTTACAATCTGTCTAACTGTGCATTAACACAAGAATAACTTTT